TTTAGAGTTTTAAATATATGGATCAGAATCTAGAGTTTTTAAATATAGGATCAGAATCTTGTGTATTTCATATATATCTGATTCCCGAGATATTAACTCTAAGTTGTATAAAAATAACGAATCTCGCAACTGTAAAATTTTTAAATTGCTAATATTAAAAATTATTTAAGGTAAAAAATAAAATAAATACATAATTTTGAAGGTAAAAAAATCTTAAAAAGGAAAGAGAGAAAAATTGGCGCCAATTTGAGCCTTTAACTGCTGGTTTACGTTATAGAGAAGACGCTACCGGCTCTTCGAATATGCATTTTTTACCAAAAATTGAAATATCACTAATATAAAATAAATGTACAAAATGATGGAGCATGGTTAAAATCAGAGACCTGCAGGCCCGGCCCGTATTTTAAATTTTTTAAATATACCCGGGCCGGGCCTTAATATTTTTTATAAAAATTTTTACATTATGAGTTAATGGTTATAAGATTATATTATAGTTATGATTAATATAATATTGGGTGATGGTTAACACTACCTAACACCCACAGATCGATCTAATTATTAATTTCCTGCAAATTTATTCAAAGTATTAATATATTTTTTTATAATTCATATCTAAATTTTTAGATATATTTTACCAAAACAATCAAATAAAGGAATATCACTTCTTGAAGTTTGTAATACCTTTCAAAGCGAAAAAGGAGAAATAAAATTGATTTTACTTAATATAAAGCATTTTTTAATTGAAAAATTTGTTTTACACAAGTATCATTTTATTTCTCTTTTTGTCTGTCCCAAATTCAAGCAATTACGTATATAGTCAGGGACAGATCGCAAGATGACGGAAAACTATATAAAAGATTATATTAAATTACAAGAAGCTCAGGAAGTAAATGAAATACCATCGACCAAATTACGACTGTTGTTAAACAAACTGAATCGTTTTATGACAAATGGGGCGATGGTAATTCTGGTAATATGTCAATACCCGATGATGAATATTATAATTACATAAATAAAAAAATAGATAAACATTTAAGGTGGATAATTTGTTAGAGTGGTGGGCGGCTCATCAAAGCGAATTTAATTTTAGCAAAATTGGCAATTCCTGCTTCAAGTGCAAGCTGTTAGCGGTATTTTTCCACTACGAGAATTCTTGAAGAAAGAAGAAGTAATCTTCAACCTGAAAAGGTAGATATGCTTCTCTTTCTTCATGATAATTTGTGAATTTTTAATATCTTTCTCGAGTGTCAATCATGCTGGTTTTTTACTTTGCAAACAGTCAAATATTTATTGCATTTATTATATTTACCTTGAGTCATGAAAGTTTTTAATCCAACATTTTTCATTTTTTTTTTACAATATTATATAATACAATTATCTTCTTTTGTTAAAAATTTATATTATAAAATAAATTATATTAATATTGTGCAATTAGATTATATTTTCAAAATACTATTTATTATACATGCATTTTTTTAAATAGCGATTTATTTTTATTTTATAAATTAAATAGTAAATTAAATACAATATATTATATTCTCAAAATATTTTCCATTTTTATAAATTAAATATTAGTATTATTATTTTTAAATGCAATATAAAATATAGTATATGCTCAAAATATTATTACCATTTTTATGGATATTAGTTTTATTTTTATAAATGCAATATAAAATATAGTATATGCTCAAAATATCCATTTTTATAAATTCAATATAATATTCTCAAAATATTAGCTTTTTACATGTATTTTTTAAATAATAAGCGATACTCGCTGAAAAATATGGTAAAATACCTCATAGGTGAATTTTTGTATATACCAGGTCGAATATAATTTTAAAAAATTTTTTAAAAAATATCCGGGCCGGGCCTAAAAAATTTAAAACGGGGTCGGGCCGTGCAAATGATACCTCCGCAGGTCTCTGCTATTTATTATACATGAATTTTTTTAAATAGCTATTTATTTTTATTTTATAAATTAAATAGTAAATTAAATACAATATATTATATTCTCAAAATATTTTCCATTTTTATAAATTAAATATTATTTTATTTTTTTTAAATGCAATATAAAATATAGTATATGCTCAAACAAAATATTATTACCATTATTATGAATATTAGTTTTATTTTTATAAATGCAATATAAAATATAGTATATACTCAAAATATCCATTTTTATAAATAACAGTTTTATAATTTTTATAAATTCAAATATAATATTCTCAAAATATTAGCTTTTTACATGTATTTTTTAAATAATAAGCGATAATACTCGCTGAAAAATATGGTAAAATACCTCATAGGTGAATTTTTGTATATACCAGGTCGAATTTAACTTTAAAAAATTCCGAGCCGTGCCTAAAAATTTTTTTTAAAAAATTCCGAGCCGGGCCTAAAAAATTTTTTTAAAAAATATCCGGGCCGGGCCGTAAAATTTTTTTTTTAAAAATATCCGGGCCGGGCCTAAAAAATTTAAAACCGGGCCGGGCCGTCCAAATGGTGCCTCTGCAGGTCTCTGGTTAAAATGTTGCTAACTTACCAATAACAGGATATTTCTTTTATACTAAAATATTTCGAATTATTGATCAAAAAAGACCATTTTCGCCTGACACCATTTAAAGTTTTTAAATATTGCTGGAATTATTTAAATCGGTAAATAAGAAATTCGTTTTAGCTTACGAGCACACCTTGTTCTCGAGATACATAGCCTGAAAGGTGCGGAATGACGATTTTGGCACTTATAAAACTTTTAAATTGTTTATATCAAACCTATTTAAGTCATGAATTCTATTAAAAAAAATTAAAATAAAGGTTCAGCAGATTTTTAAAATATTATGTCTTTGTGATTCAAGATAAAGTACAAGGATTCACTGGAATAAAGCGCAAGTTACCATTCATCCTTTTGTGATTTATTACATGGCACTTAATCATTTAAATTATTTATGTTACGTAATAATATCGGAATCACTCATTCATAATATAATTATCGTTCATTTATTCCAAAAATATTTAGTCTACTACTAAACTAATCCCATTTTTAAAGATAAAATTGAAGCAGAATTTTATTCGAATTCAACTGAATAGCAAATATAAAACATAATATTTCACCTGAATATTAATGTGAATCTAATATAAGAAAAAATAAATGGATATATAACATGTATCTATGATGATAAATGGTGGATGACCTATGATTTAAGTTTTTGCACCCTCAAGGACTCTCAAATCCTTATACATATCCCTCCCCCATCCAAAGTAACAAATTGTGGATACATATAGCATAGCATAAGTTTTAGATGTGGCCAGTCATTCAACTGTTAGAACAAACATATACTTTACATAAAGATGAGACAATAAAAAATATTCAACTTTTAAAGTTAATTTTTAAATATATAATTATTTATATCTTTAGCTAGATTTTGCTTCAAATTCATCATAAATAATGGAATGAATTTGATTATCTATTATTGGAAACTTAATACATTATTTAGATGTCTAAGATGCATTAGCCCCCCACTGCCTTTTAATTGGTATATTTAATAAAAATTCAAAATATTTTAGTATAAAAATTGAAAATATCCTGTTATTGGTATGTTTGCAACAAAATTTTAACCATAATCCGTAATTTCGTATGGCGCTTTCTATTTTATGCAAATAAATATTTTAATTTTTGGTAAAAAATGCATATTCCGGAAGAGCCCATAGCGTAGCTAGAGTTTTAACGTAGTATATATATATATAAGGTGTCTAAATAAGGGAAAAAATTTTTGGAAAACCAACTCCCCTAATTTTTTAAATACACAAGTAAAGACGTAAACCGGAAGTTTAAAGACTCAAATTAGTGCCAATTTTTTTTTATTTCGAATTTTAAAGATTTCTGTATCTACAAAAATGATTTATTTATTTTATCTTTACCTTAAATAGTTTTTTAATATAAGCAATTTAAAAATTTCACAGGCACGAAAACGCCATTTTTCGCAAATTTGAGGCCCTGTATCTTGGGATCCAGATGCGCTAGAGAGCTAGAATAAACGGATTTCTAATTTATTTACCGATTTAAATAATTCCAGCTAATTAAAAAGAGGTCGGCAGAATGATCGATTTGACATGGAATGGCGGAATTTTTTTTATTGATTGAAATCTCGATTGATTATTATTTTCGTTTACAAGTAGAATAATCCAGTTTATTTAAGAAAAAACATTAAAAACTAATTAATATGTAATTTTATATAAACTCTCTTTTGGGGAAAATATTTATACACTTTTTTATTCATTTATATCGATTCTGAGAATGAAATTGGCCGCGTCCTAGAACGAATTTGTTTTATAAGTATAAAAGAGGCGTTTAGCAATACCTACTAAATTTTTTATAAAAATTGAAGGTAGTTATCATTTCCAATCGTTTTTAATTCTTACATATTAAATAAAATATCCAGAAATTGGAGAAATCAAAAAAAAAAATTTTTATCTATAATCTTCGTATACAATTTTGATATTAAATTTGTTATTACAATATGTAGTTTATAAGCTTTAATTGAATCAATTAAACCCTAATATCTCCAAATATATAAATGTTAGGGGGCTAAAATGTTGGCTATTTTTTAGTTAAATTAACCCGAAGGGAGTCGGCCGAAAATCTCATTCCTTTGCTTAATGGAATGACACTCCGGGGAAAAAATAAATTTAGCATTCCAATTTTTTTTTACTTTGACTAAAAATTTATAAAAATATTTTAAACTTTAAAATGGAGTTAAATGGACCCCCATATTAATAATAATATAACTGAATATTTTAAATTGAATAATAATGAGCGAATGAGTCATTTTTCATACTTTGACGCTTGTGATATCTCCAAAAATATGAGAGGAAAAATTTGGACCATATTTTATGTATGTGTAACTTAGTTTGAATGTAAAAATTAATCTAATTAATTCCCAAGAGGCCAATTAAAAATCATGTTTTTTTAATCAATTTGATATGGAATGCCCCAGTAAAACCTGCAAATATGGGTATTGTTTATTAAAATTATTCTCATCAAAATCGCGGATATTCATAATTTTTATATGACTTTTATCGTCATTGAAACGTAGTATGATATTTAATATTCCTTGTAGAATTATCAATTTGTGTAGGACACGGATTTTTATAATTCTTTCAATTAGGAGTTCTATATCGTAGCCAGGTTCTAATTCACGAGCACTATATTCGTCACATTTTTTATACTTTTCCCTTAAGAAGCAACGAGGTAGTTCGAGAGAAGATAATAATCTACATTTAGAATAATCATTTCCTTTCTCGTCTAAATTGTCGAAAATAAATCCATGTTTTGTCAACCATTTGTAAAAGTTTAAACTATGGTTCTCTGCGTATAAAACAAAAAATTATATATCAAACATTATGTAATATTTAATATGAATGTGAGAAACAGCTAGAGATGTACCGGATCCAATTTTTTATTTACCCGGCCTAGGTCGGTTACATACATTTCATTAATCCGATATTACTATAAAACTGATCCGATATTTAAATTGATTTTATTTACCATCTTTATTTGAATAAGTGCTATAAAATTAATATTTTCTATTCAAAAAAAAACTTTCACGAATTATTAAGCGTATTTTGTTTTTTATTCTCAAAAAATAAAATATAGGCAAAGTTTGTGCTAAACGTAGTATTTGTTAATCAGCTTTTAAAAACGGCTATCAAGATTTTAGCCAAAATATTATTACCTAAGCATTGAAATTTTGACAATAGATATCCAAACCTTTCTGCCAACTGTTGACAAAATTTCCAAGTTTGAATAATTTACTTTTGGATAAAATGTAAAGATTTTGTTATTTATTTTTTCCTCTTTAGCTTACACCTTTTCTGGTGGTAAGCTCCTTCAACATCTCTCTCCAATTTATGTTATTCATACAATCTCTTTTATCTAATTTATACTTCTTTATATTGGCTCTAACTTTATGGCCCCATTGAAGTTTTGGCTTTCCTCTATTACGTTTGCCCATCACTTCCAAACTCTCAACTTTATTTCCTATGTAGTTCATAGGCCTTCTCATTGTGTGCCCATACCACCTAAGTCTGTTTACCATTAACTTAGTCTTAATGGGCACTACCTTTAAACTACTTAGTATTCTTGTACTGCGCACTTTATCCTTTCTTGTTACCCCAGCAATCATCCTCAGCATTCTCATCTCCATAGTTTGTAGACTGCTCTCGTCTGATTCTTTGGTTGGCCATGTTTCCGAACTATATAGAATAGTTGGTTGTACTATGGAACTGTAAATTTTTCCCTTTAATTTGTGTGGGATTCTTTTGTCAAATAGCACTCCAGATAAAGATCTCCACTTTAACCACCCTTGATTAATCTTACTCTTTATCTCTTTTTCTATTGTGCCGTTTGTTTGTATAGTGGAGCCCAAATATTTGCAGCTTTCAATTTATCACCATATACACCGTCTTTTCTCTATTTACTTTTAATCCGTGCGTTTCTAGGATATTTATCCAACTCAATAATTGGTCATTCCATGTGAAATGAGCAAAAAAATCAAGATTTTCGGCCGACCCCTTTCAATTTCGATAAAAGGTTGTAGACTGGTTATATATGTTCCCATTAGATTATAAAGAAAATTTTAGCGCATTAGCAACTAAATTAGCGGAGATAACCGGAGTTAAAGGTCCAAAAAACGCTTTTTTTTCTTTTTACAAATGTTAAATAATTAGTTTTTAATTTAAAACTAAATATGATCAAATATTGAATCTAATAGCAATAGCTAAGTTAATAATTGATAATTATGGCGAAAACATCAAAATTAATTTTTTTTAAATATGGGTCATCTTATGGTCAGTTCAAAATTTGAAATTAATATTTCGAAATGTATATGATCTCCGATTTTTAATTTTTTTAAGAAATATTATCCGTTTACTATTTTTTTAATAATTTCTTTAACAATTAGTATGGCTGGATATTTATTTAAAAAAATATTGCGATTTTTATACTTAAAAAAATAGATGGCGCTATATATAATTGTTTTAATATGTTAAATTTCATTTTTTTTATTGATTAAAAATATTTTAATGTATAATATATCATAAAATTTGATTATATAACTTTGTAAACCTTATTCCCCTGAGATATTCGCAGGATAAAAAATTTTAATAATTTTTTTAATATTTCAATATAAATTAAAAATAATTATAAAATCGGACTAGAACACGAACAAAAAAGCAGGATTAAAGGATTGCAGGAAAATTATTAAGGAAAAAATTGAAAATCACATTAATTACCAGGCCTACCCCCAACCCTCCACCCCCCCCCCCCCCCAGACAAAGTCATACCCATCAAGACCAAGAATGTTATGAAATTCTCATTATTTTACATTATTAAAATAACCAGTGATAAAGAAAATTTCAAAGATTTTGAAAAATATTTTAAGCAATAAAAATAACAAAATTATAGTTCCGATGAAATAAGCCGACTCATGACTGAAATAAAAGATTGTGTATCTGTTAAAGGCGAGAAAGAATCAGTCCAAAGACTTATATTAAATAATCTTAAAGAAATATTCAAGATGTTTAAGGAAGAATACCCAAATATATCAATTGGATTCTCTAAATTTGCCGAACTTAGACCAAAAAACTGTATTTTAGTTGGAGCTAGTGGCACACACACTCTTTGTGTGCGCCATTCATCAGAATGTGAAATAAATGACAAATGTAATAGCTGAAATTACAGCAGGAGAAGATTACTGTACAAATTCTTATAACTATCTTTTGGCGCAAATTATTTGTAATCCATCTCAGCCAAAATGTTATTTAACAAATTGTGATCAATGCCCTGGTATAGAATCTCTTAAGGGACAATTATACCAATTGTTTCAGAGAAATCGTATAGAATATGTCACGTTTAAACAATGGATCACGGTGGATAGAACAAATCTTGAAACTATTATAAAGTCCATTGATGATTTCATCGATAATCTATTAAAAAAAGTTCAAATTTTACTGCGTCACTCATTTATAGCTAAACACAAAGTTTATTTTTAAAGAATTCCAAAGAAAATTTAAAAGATGGAGAATTTTCAACAATTCTAGATGATTCAGAGAATTATTTCTTCAATTTACTAGATGAAGTTCAGGAATTTCATTGGAACAACGTGCAGGCCACTATAAATCCATTTGTAGCATATTATAAATCTGGAGAAGAATTAAAAAATATAAATTTTGTTATTTTGTCCGAATCATTAAGCCATAATACTAGTGCAGTCCACCTTTATCAAAAATTTTTATTAAATTCTTAACAGCCAAATTTAATTCTAAACCAGAAAAAATAATATATTTTTCAGATAAAGCCGCGTCTCAATACAAGAATTGCAAAAATTTTCTGAACATATGCCTTCATAAATACGATTTTAATATTCCTGCCAAATGGCATTTCTTTGCCACTGCTCACGGCAAAAATGCATGTGACGGTATCGGAGGAACTGTCAAAAGATTAGTTGCCAGAGCTAGTCTTCAAAGGCCAAATAAAAATCAAATCCTAACCCCATTAGAATTATATAATTATGTTAAAGAAAATATTAATGGAATTCAATTTGAATATGTATCCAATCAATAATATATCGAAGAGGAATTAGCCCTTCGTAAAAGATTTGATTCTGCACTGCCCATTCATGGTACCCAAAAAATTCACGGGGTTATTCCCATTGATCAAAATAGACTAAAAACCAAAATATATTCTAATTCCAAAAAATATAATATAAAACAAGTTTCGTCTTTAAATGAGAAAATTATATTTTAAAATATTAATGGATATATAACATGTGTATATGAAGATAAATGGTGGTTAGGATATAAAATCGATAAAAATGAAGAAGTAAAAATCCGATTTTTACACCCTTGTGGACCTTCAGCCTCATTTAAATTTCATCTGAAAGATGATATTTTAGTGTTGCCTAAATCTCATATTCTCTCGCTGGTCAATCCTTTTACTCCCACTAGTCGAACATATATATTATCTCCTGAAGAAATCTCACAAGCTAGCCAGGCTTTGTATTCCTTTAGATGAAGTAAGATTTAATTAATTTATAAACTATCTTAATTAGGCAAAATTTGTGAAGATTTTAAAAATTTATGATCTGAATTACGAATAAATATATATAATGCACATTGTAATCGATTTAGTATGATATATATACATTAAAATATTTTTAATCAATAAAAAAAATGAATTTTAACATATTAAAACTATTATATATAGCGCCATCTATTTTTCCTAAAGAATAAAAATCGCAATATATTTTTAAATAAATATTCAGCCATGCTAATTGTTGAAGAAATTATTAAAAAAATAATAAACGGATAATATTTCTTAAAAAAATTAAAAATCAGAGATCATATACATTTCTAAATATTAATTTCAAGTTTTCAACTGACCATAAGATGACCCATATTTTATCAAAAATTAATTTTGATGTTTTCACCATATTCATCAATTATTAACTTAGCTATTGATATTAGATTAATTAAAAACTAATTATTTAACATCAGTAAAATGCAAAAATAGACGTTTATTGGACCTTTAACCCCGAATATCTCCGCTAATATAGTTGCTAATGCGCTAAAATTTTGTTTATAATCTAATGGGAACATATATAACCAGCCTACGATTTTTTATCGATATCGAAAGGGGTCGGCCGAAAAGTGATTGATTTGACATGATTTCATCCTTGGATTCGGCAAGTATCACAATATCATCTGCAAATATCATATTCCACGTAACTGTTTGAAATACAGACTGTGCTAATACATCTATTACTGTAATGAAGAGAAGTGGGCTGAGAGCCGACCCCTGATGAACACCTTCGGCATTGTGAAGCCTGCTGAAGTACCTGTTGTGCTACGGACCATTGTTGTATGGCCCATATACATATCCTGTATTATTCTTATATATTTTTCGGGAACCTTTTTGTGGCGTAGCGCCTACCAGATAAGTTTTCATGTGTAGCTTTTTGTTCTTTTCCCTGTATTTTTCACTCATTTGCCTAATTGCGTGGATAGCATTGGTTGTTGATCTTCCAGGCATAAAGCCAAACTGAGTCTCTCCTATTTCGATTATATCTCTTAATCTTTTTTCTATTATTTTTTCGTATAGTTTTAGACAGTGTGACATTAGTTTTATGACCCTGTAATTTTGACAATTTTGTGGATCCCCTTTATTTTTGAAGATAGGAACTAGATAGCTCTGCCTCCATTTTTGGGGACTCTCTTCATTTCCAAATTTTTATTGTACAGATTTGTGAGGAGATGTATTCCATTATCTCCTAGTGCTTTAAGGCTTTCTATTGGAATATCGTCTGGACC